CTTAATGATCCATCACCACCTACTGTTCCAAAAATATCAGGATTAGCTGCAAATGAAACATCAAAAACTTTCTTTATCATGTGCAATTAATTTTTTTACTAATTGACCAGTTTCTACTGACCAAACTGAACAAGTAGTATCAATTGAACATGAACATACACGATCAATATTAATTGTATTCCAATCAAATGATGTAGATGGTGAAAAAGTTTCTGTTGATGAATTTAATGTTGTTTTACATTTTAAATTAGATGAATCAGGTGATATTTCATATTCTTTGATGATTTGAATCATTTTGGTAAATTATAAATTTGTTTGCTAATAATAAATTGTTTCATATGAACAAACATTAATAACGATGTGCCTTAGTGTTGGATTATTAAGTAATTGCTTTATTGGTTGTTAACAAATTGTATTTTTTTTAAAGTCGTATAACCGAATTGATGAATCTGAACATCCAATAGAAATTAAATGACCATCATCACTAAAATTAATTGAATTAACAATATTTTGAGAATTAAAAAAAGTAAAAAATGCTGTTGATGGAAGAGATTCTTCATCAATAAGAATTCGATTTTGTTCATCTTCGTATATTCGTTCTTGTGTCTTTTGACTGAATTTAAAGTAAGTGTATTCAGATGGTTTTTGAATAATGTTTTCCGTGTAAGGTAACATTCTTATTTTTCTCTTTTTCAGTTTTTTATTTAAATTTTTTCTCTTTTTATTTTGTGATAATTTCTTTATTTTTATTGAAAAAGATTGAATGTACTTTCTTTTTATCTGAACACTATTATTATTATCATATCCTTAGAGTAAATTCTTATGAGTAAATCAATTCTAAATGAAAGTGATTTCTTTTATTATTATAATAGATGTATTATGACAATAAGAAATATTATATAAAAATGAATGAAAAGAGTTGAAGTTAAAGATCATCAATATTAATATCATCTAATTCATCGTCTCCTTTATGCATTAAAGTGACTTTAGTTTCATTCTTACTTTCATTGATTTGATCAATCATTGAAATTAATCCACCCTCATTGATTTTTCCAGTCATTTGTCCACGTTGACACATCATCAAAATCATATCACCTACTTGTCTTGCTTTTTCTGGTTTAACAAGAGCAATACTAGCAACTTACAGTTAATCCCCATTTTAAATGAAATACAAAAAAACATTACAAACGTCTTTCTTTTGCTGCTGGTTCAAGAACAGAATCAATAATTTGTTGTCTTTGTTCTTCTTGTTGTCTAATTTATTACTACTCTTTGGTTTTTGTATTACAACCATATAACAAACCTTCTTTGTTCCTCTTTATATTGTTGTACTTGTTGTGAGTTCATTTCTTTTAAATTTTCCAGTTATTGTTATTTGAAATTTATTCATCTTTAGAATAATGATATAACATAGTTAAAAGAAACTCAAATAAGTGTAATAAGGCATATTTTATTCTTGTTGTTACTCTTCAAAGTCAAATTTGATTGGAACAAAGAGCAAAATACAGAGAATGTAGTGAGAATGTATTTTGTGTTGAGTTTATCAACTTGAAAAGATAAGATTTGAGAGTAATTTAAAGATAAAAACACTTAAAGTACATGAAAATTATGTTAGTGTTATTACGATCAAGATAAATTGTATTAGTGTTAATACAAAGCAATAAATAAAA